AAGATTAAACTCGATAAGTTTATGGAGGAGAAGGTATGATGGGATAACATGATTTTGGCAATTAATTGATCTTTAACTATTCATGGTAAATAGGTCCAATGGCCTGTGATGGAATGTTAGATGGGGTGGGATCTGAGTTACTACAGAGAATTCTTTCCTGGGTATCTGGCTGGTGAATCTTGCCCACATGCTCAGGGTTCAGCTGATCGCCATATCTGGGGTCGGGAAGGAATTTTCCTCCAGGGCAGAATGGAAGAGACCCTGGGGTTTTTTCACCTTCCTCTGCAGCATGGGACATGGGTCACTTGCTGGAGGATTCTTTGCACCCTGAAGTCTTTAAACCATGATTTGAAGACTTCAGTAACTCAGACATAGGTGAGAGGTTTATTGCAGGAGTTGGGGTGAGGGGGGAGATTTGGTGGCCTGCCTTGTGCAGGAGGTCAGACTAGATGATCATAATGGTCCCTTCTGACCTTAATACCTATGAATCTATTGAAGAACTCCAAGTTAAGGAGTGCTTGTAGCTGTAAAGGCACATCCCTCTGTTGGGGACAATGCAGAACTGCACTTAAGATCACCTTTGTCTGTGCAACAAATCTGGCCAAAAGATGCAACACTTCTTTCCCCTGCTCCACACATGCAAAATATAAAGTGAGAAGGCTAAGCCGAGGAGGAGACATATATGGGAGCTAACAAGAATCTTTTAAATGTGGAAATCCTGCTCAAGCAACACAGATCAGAATTAGGGATATGGGAGCCCTGCAGGTTTGGAGGTTTGATGGTCTTGGGAATTTAACCCTGCAGTTCAGTTTGAAGGGATTGGAGCAAACCACTCTTTACATATTTGCTTGGATGTCTGTGTTAGAATGAGAATTCTCCCAGACAATCCTCATCTTACTTCCCAAACTGAGGGCCCACTCATTCTCCTCCAGTTGTTCCCCAGCAAAATGAGCCTAGGGACCTTGTTACTCACTGTTGCTGTCTCCAGGAAGGACCCAGTGACCTCCTTACCCCTCCTACTCTCTCTTGGTGTCAGGTGGGGCTTTCCTTTGACTTCGAGGGGTCACTGAGTAGTTCTCCTACATTTTCTCTCTTCTGATGGGCTGTCATATAGGGCCACTGTTCCACCTTCTCTCTCAAATTCCATCAAAGCTGATGGTCTTTTGGGAAGGGGCGGAGCCAAGAGTGGCCTGACAACAGAGTAACAGGGCAGCAGCAGGAGAGATTGCATGCAGATAGAGCTTAGCATGGTAGCAACCACATGCTCGGAATTATTGGGTGTCATCATCTGGTATGATTACTAAGGAATCCCTATGGGTTATCTAGCTACCAAGGTGAACCTCATGGGGTGATATCTGCTCCAGGGCTTAATACAGCAGCAACTGCAGAGAGAGGCTGGGAGTGTTTTCATCTCCAGATACTCTGTGTGGAGAGAAGTCAGGTTGCTTCAGGGGAGCTGGAGGTAAGTAGTGCTGACTGGAAGCTTCCGTCCAAGGGCACAAGTCATGGATGGCAGTCCCATCCAGGGCCCCTGGTAAAGCAAAAGTAAATGGGAGAACCAATGGTTTAGTAGAAGAAGGCAGGGGTGACTTTTGTGGACAGTGGGAGGAAGACTAGCGGTGGGGAGGATATTAAGGCAGATTTCAGGGACTTTTCAGTTTTGCTTACACCCTTCTTCCCTTAGTTTTATGAAAGATATTGGACTTCAAATGGTGATTAGAAGGGCAAGATCTATTAGGTCATCTGGGCTTGTGATTACCCAACGTGGATTATGTGTGGTCTGTGGAGCACTTCCAGGCATTTTGTGTCACTCCTTCATTCACAATCAAGGAGGATCTGGCAGTCTTCAAAGAGTGATACCTTCTGATACTTGAAGCAAAGATTTTCAAAAGTGCTGGACACTCAGCAGGTCCCACTGACTTCAAAAGGAGCTGTTGGGCCCTCAGTACTTTGAAAATTAGTTTACTTTTTTAAGGAGCCTCCCTATTTTTAAAAAGCTTTGTCTATGGGCCATAGGGCTTGCAGGAGCTTTTCTGACCAATCAATCTTAAAAGAAAAAGCAAAGCCAAGAACCTCTCTGAAAGCTGGATAGCTATGTCATGTCCATCTTTGGCATGATTTCAACCCTGATCGGAGTTTCTGACTATTCATAAACGAAGGCAGAACCAAACTTTACTGAACAGATTAAAGAAATTGGGCTGCAGGGAATGAGGATGTTTGGTAATAATAATATTAAGCTCTTAAGTGCTTTTTATCTCTAGATTTCAGAGCAATTTTCAAAGGAAGGTGAGTATCATTCCCATTTTACTGATGGGGAAACTGAAGCACATAGCTATGAAGTGACTGTCCAAGGTTACACAGTAGGCCAGTGGCAGACCCATGAACCAAATCTATTCTACACCCAGGGAGAGGAAACAGGTCAGATACTAAATAGGGGACTATAAACAACCAGTTATACCTATTGCATTAGAGTGAGTTTATTTTTCATTTTGTTGTTTTAATACGTTCCTCAGAAAACTAAGAACTAGATCATTAGTTGCGGCAAACAAAGTATAGAATGTGGTTTGGTAACTTAGGAGGGGAGGGACAGTCCCCAAAATGTTCTCTAGTTCAGGATAAGGTCCGCAATATGGAAAAGCTTTAGAACCTTTTATCTAGGCTATCCCTCTGCTAATTCAGAATTGTCCCCTGCAGTATATTTTACCAGTGCTTTGTCCAGTCTCGATATAAATGTCTTTGACAATGAGGTTTCCATCAGCAGATTAGGCCACAGTCTAATAAATGTGTCAGGAAGATTTTTCTGAGATTCAGCCTTTATTTTCCTTGTCTTAATTTGGAATGTCATGGAGCAACTCATGAAATGCAAGTTCAATAAATCATTTGGACCAGATGGCATTCATGGGGTGTGTGTGTGTGTGTGTGGGGGGGGGGGGTTCTGAAGGAAATAAAGTGTGAAACAGTGCATATAAATCATTAAAAATAGCAGCTGTTCCCTAAAAATTGGAAAATCCAACCTGGTGCCGGTATTTAAAAAGGGGGGAGGGGGTGTTGAGGAGAACAGCGATTTCAGGAATTACAGCCTGATGAGCCTTATCTCAGCTCCAAGGAAATTTACAGAGAATCTGTGTATAGGACAACACTTAGATAAATACATTAGAGCCAAATCAACACAGCTCCTGCAAGGGTAAATAATGGCTCGCTAAGCTATGAGAGATCTCTGGAAAAAAATGTGACTACAAAATAGCAATATAGCTAAATCTGATTGGGGTGGTAATAACTTGTTTGGAAAGTTGTTTTTAGATCTTGGTTTTAGAAATCCTTTGGAAAGGAAATGGCCTATGGGATATCCTACTTAGGACGAATAAGGGGTCCATTGGGATAGGAAGTTCAGGACTACAGAGCAGGACAGTGTCAGGAGATGAGGCACAGAGGAGACAGGAGCTGACTAGTGGGGAGGGAGCTGGGCAGGGGTTTATGGCACCAGAGTGTGAACTGTAGGTGAGTGTCTAATGGAGAGGGAGGAAGAAAGCACTCTGGGAAATGGGAAGGAACAGGTCATCAGGATGGATCTGGTGGGCAGGAAGAAGATACTGGTCTTTGTGGGAGGAGTGGTGGTGAGGGGACTGTCTGGCAGCTTTTGTGGGGTTTGGAGAGGACAGAACTGAGGGAGGAAATAGGGACAGTTTCCAAGTCTGTAGTGGAAGTAACAGTCAAGGACTGGTGCAAATCTCTCAATCAGGTTACAAACCTCACCCACCACAAGCCTGGCTTTGCCTAACTTTCAGTGACTTTCCCTTTTTCTGTCCATAAAATGGTTGGTGGCAAAAAACTGAGGGTGAAATCCTGGCCCCATTCCACTGAGTGACAAAACTCCCGTTGCCTTCAGTAGGGCCAAAATTTCACTCTGAGAGAGCATTTTTGTGCTTACATATATTTGCAGATCACGTGGTAAAGATTATTGGGTATGGAAGCCCAACCATGAAATTGGGGATCATGTGTATTTGGGAGATGGTTGTCAGCATTTGATTTTTGTCTTCCAATAATTAAAAAAACACAGTGTGTCCAATATTTCAGTACCATGAAAATGATGTGAGTATTGAACTCGAAAACTCAGTGGATTCCTTGTGAATCTGATGTTTCTTGCTCTGGTTTGGATGATTTTCCCAGGGTAACTTATCAATGAAATTAAAATAAAAAAAGAGAGAAATCCGCACTGTGTAGCTAGTGTGTGACAAATTTAATTCTCTCCAGGCCAGGGCAGCAATGTTTCTGTGTTCTGGAAAAGTCCATGTTGACCCAACGAGGAGGGAAAAAGAGACTTCAGTTTTCTCTCATAGGGATGGAGAATGATCATTGTTTTTGTTTAGATCCCATCTCAAATTGTCTGTGAAGCTTAGCTGGAATTCCTAGGGCTTGATGCACCTGTTGAGAAAAACGTCTCACTGATGAGGGATGTGTGGGCTAGGGATAAAAGCAGAATGTGAGCTGAGACAGTGAAAGCTGCGATAGGAAGGGAAAAGTGCATTGGGTGACAACTGCTGGGAGCTGTGCACATGAAAGTGGAGAAACAGACAGCTCTAAAAGAAATATTCATTCATCCACAAAAGAAATCCTATACATCAAAGAATTACAATGTGCACACGAAGTATCTGCTTTTATTTTGGTGCTTCTGGGCATTGTACTATTTAGTAAACTGGGGAAGGCTGTAAGTCAGTTTTTGTTCTTTCCATTTATCTAATGTGCAAGGACATTTGCTGAGGATGCGACAGGATTTGTAAAGAAAGCCCGACTCTTTAGCAGAGAGCATATTTGTCATCATTGTACTCGCAAAATTATAACACAGGCTTTCTCTGGAGTAAACAAGATAGAGCTTATTTTTTTATTCATTGTATTGTGTCGGTTCCTGCTTGCATCACTGCAGGGTTTCTTTGGCCTCATCCAGAGCTCACTGAAGTCTTTAGAAAGACTTCCATTGACTTCAGAGGGCTTTGAATCAGGGCTGTACTGTTTTCATGAGAAATTCTCCCTTTAGAAGATTTTAGAAGTAACATTTAGTATTAAATATTTGTGTAGGTTCCTCAGCCCAGGAATCTTTTTTTTTTATTATTTTTACTCAATTAGGACCAGATTCTGATATCTTTACTCAAGCTGAGTAGCACCTTGCTCCATGGTAGCTGACTGGTCCTTGCCATTAGATACAGCAACTATCAGGCTGCTCTATCTTAAACCCTGCCGCCCAAAGGGAGCATCTGGAAATCTTCCAGATGAAGCAACTCCCTAGATCGGGCTGTTAGCTAGTCACAGCCTTCCTGTGCCAGAAAGGAGGGACATAGGAACAGCTACTATGCCCTATACAATCCTAAGATTCTCCTACACAAGAAGAATTAACCTTTTCCTGATACTTTTTCACTGCCCAAAAGTAAAGCTGCTGTAGTGGGGAACAGAATCTGGACCTCCATCCAATTTCATCCCGTAAAGTCCTGTACACAAACTGTGAGTATTGTTCCCTGTACTACATGAGAATTAAATGTGTGTGGGTGGGGGGAGGGAGTAGGAACCTAACCCTATGTGAATACAAAATTTAAGTTGCAGTTAAAATATTTCCATTGCATTATTTTATTATTTAATTTATTTTGTATCATCTGCTTGTTGTTTTTAAATAATAAAACGAGAGGCCAGTGAGAAAAAAAATGCCTAGGTTCAATAATAGCATTTAAATGGCCCCAGTTGGGCTTGGAAGTTCACACCTCACTGAGCTGAAAGGGGTGAAAGAGAAAATGTATTCTCATCTTTCCAGACCAGAAATAGCAGCAACAGACAATTTTTGCAACTGGTTTATACTGTGATGTCTGAATCTTCAGACTAGTAGGAGAAACTAGGGCTTATTTTCCTCCATAGCAATGGTACACGAGTGTAACTCCACTTGGCCCTGATTTCCATCTCCTGTTGGTTTTGCAGTGGTATAACTCTATTGACATTAACATAGTGATACCTTATTTAGAGACTCCTCGGAAAGTATGAGAATAATAAGAATAATATGATAATGATGTCACACAGTAGCATGGCTCACCCTCATTTATCTAAATGTAGATCAGAGTATAAGACCCTAAATTCTTAGGACTTTAAGTTATAATATACAAATGTGGTGAAGACGTCACCATTTTCAAAGGTTTAAAATCTTTGGTTTAAAAAAAAGAGAGAGGAAGACTTCCAATATAGGGATTATTTCATGTGAAAAGAAAACACTGTGCTTTTTCACCCTGATTTGTAGATAATACATTAGTGGATAAAATAGGGGATCATATTCCTCTTTTGAAAAACTTACTACTCAGAGATTTGAAGAAAAATCAATGTGACATTTGAATATACTTTGAAGTTAGTTCTCAGCTTGAAACTTCACAACTTTTGTCTCTCTCTCTTTTTTTATCAACTGTATTCATTACATTTCCATATAAAGCAGCCTGCTTGTTAAATACCATCTCTGCCTTTCTCTTTTTCTCGCTGTCACTTTGCTCTCCATGAGAATTGAACACTTTCTTTCCAAGGTAGCAACGCAATTCAAGGCCCAGCCTTTGTAAAGACATATAACTTTGATTGCTGCATTTGTATAATTAAGGGACAGGCCTCTGGTTTAAAGGGGCTCCTGTTTTGCCTTTGAAATTGGGAGAGCACGAGTTTTCTGTGGCAAGCTCACTGTAGGAAAGTCCCCGTCCCCTTTGGTGTCACATCTATCTGCGTCCCCCAGACTGCTCGTCCGCTGTCCCAATGACAATGATTAGTCGGACCCCCCACTGGCTGCAGATGGAATGAGGCAGAGAGATAAGGCAAGCTGCCTTTCTCTTATGCCTCAGATCAGCGGAGGGAGAGCTCTTCTTCACAGGAAGCCCAAGTGTAAGCCGTTTAAACAAGCGTGCAGGAAATATTGGGGTAATTACCAAGCGCAGGGAGGGGGTCTGTGGCTATCAACAGCACTGAGAATGGATTCTAACATTCACTCAGCAGATTAATTGATCCTCTCTCTGCTGCTCATCTTTGGAAATAATTCTCATGGCTGAAAGTTGGGAGAGTAAAGTGTATTGAGGAGAGGCATTCTCATTATAGCTCTGCATATTTACTAATATCTGAAGCTCACTTTCTTCTCCTAGAGAAGCATTAAGAATTGTAGCAATAATTCATGCTTGGCAAACTTGTTTTCTGTAATAAGATCAAACCCACAAAGGGAGAAGAAAAAGCCTTGCTGTCTACGCTTTCTTATCTGAGGTGACGATGGTTAAGTGCTCCAATAACGAGAAGCGAGTCTGAGACACTCACATTTAATTCAGTTTAGTTAAAACAGAGTTTGCTGCGATTTTAATTTTTAGCTTTGCAAAAGCAAAACATGTTGCCAGCTTAGTGGAGCAGGAAGGATGAGTAGGGCCCTGTTGGGGATGGACTGGTTCCTCTCAGTCCCGGCAGACCACTGAAGAGGAACATTAAAGAAGTGACAGGTTTGTTGCTGGGGAGATGAGAACCAGCCTCTTCTGTCTCCTTCTTCTCCTTTGCACCTTCTCTCCCCAGCTGGCGAAGGAAGAAAACCAACCTCGTGGTTATAGTTACTTCTCGGATATGCCAGGCGCAGGCTAGGTGTCAAGAAGGAAATGACAGACGGCACTTCCACACCTCTACCTATGTGTTTTGCCTGTTTGTGTATGCCCCGGTATTTTATATGTGAACCAGCAGATTGTGGGGAGAAGTTAATGGATGCAAGAGCAAAACAGTTTTGTTTTCTCTACTGGCTAATTTGATTGCTCATTTAAAATAATTTAAAAATAATGAGCAAAGAATTGTTTCTGATTTATATGCTGTACTTTGTGGAATGTTTCAAACCCCCTTATTAGCGCTAACCTAGCAACTTGAGATAAAGCGAGTGACAAAAATGTCCTGATTTAATGTAGAACTCCTTATTTTTGCACAGAATGATCCACTATCTTTCAAATTCTGTCAGGACACTCATTGGTTTAGGCTGTTTTTAGGCACTGTGGAAAGTAAATTACTATCCCACTGAAATGTAGCAAACGTAAGGGTTGCAATCTAGATCTGCTTTGACTGCCAGCTTTTTAATACAGTAGGAGAAAAACTATTATAGGATGATTCTTAAAGACAAAAGCTTAGAAAGAGCAGTACCTGCCCCCTTTCTCCAATTTCATTCTGTCACCCTCTTCTCTATTGTTGGTACATTTGTGGGTATTGCATCCCTCACTCCTAAAGAACTAAGGGCCAGACTTTGACAATTAAATTGCACACATTTGCATGAATGCAACTGTGTGCCCACATTATGTGGGAGCACAAGACTGGGAATTTGCATGCACACGTAGCTAGCTAGATGTCTGTTCAGCCCTGAATTTCACAGGCAGGCACGTTATACTTTCAACAGCTATTATTACTAGTGTGATGTTAAGAAGTTTAGAAATGGAAGATAGGTGAAGAGGTGCAGGTATTCAAGAAAATAGCTGATTACTCCTATTATTCCTGAGGGCATCCTGCACCCAAATTAAAAGTTCTGTGCCAGAAAAAATTAAAATTCTGGGCACAATATTTTAAAATTCTGCAAATGTTGTTTGTCAAATAAATGTGGAGGCTCCAGCCTGTTACTGGAGAGTACAGGCCACTGGCTGCACAGAGGTGGGAGATCACTGTGCAGCTCTCCCCACCCCCGGGACATGGACTCTGCGGTGAGGCTGCACCCAACCCTGACACAGTGCAAGGACCGGGCCTGCCCCAGAAACGCTCCAAAGCCCTGCCCCTCCATGCCAGGCGCACCAGGTGTGGGAGGCAGGCTCAACAAGGCAGGATCCAAAGGTGGAGGAGCTTAGTGTGGGGGAATCCAGGTGTGGATTGAGAGGGTTTTGTGTGGAGCAATCTGGGTGCAGGCAGCTCAGTGGGGGATCCAGGCGTAGAGGAGATCTGGATGCACAGGATCTTGTTGTGGGGTTCTGGGTGCAATGGTAATGGCACTCGGCAGGGGGTCCAGGTGAAGGTGGTTGGTGCTCAACAGGGGTTGGTCTGGGTGTTGAGGGTGATTGAGCTCAGCAGGGGGGTCTAGGAGTGGGGAGATCAGTGGGGGGTCTAGGAGTGGGGAGATCAGTGGGGGGTCCAGATGCTGGGGTAGTGGGATTCAGTGGGGTGGGGATCCAGATGCAACTGGTTGGGGCTCAGTGGGGTGGGTACGTGGGTGCGGGTGGCTCATCAGGGTGGTCCAGGTGTAGGAAGAGTGGGCTTATTGGGGAGGAGGAGTTCTGTGTGCAGGGGGATGAGGCTGCTCCTCTCATCTTTCTGTAAATCTTCCTGAAACCTGACAGGCTCACTTCATAGGGTCTTGTGCAAATATTCTCACTAGTTTTGAGTTGTCAGGGTTCATACTCCCTGAGTGTTGGTTGAGTATTGCCTCTGCATGAGCCCCAAATTTGATTTAATACCATGAGTTTCACCTGGTTTGGCACTGAAATAGAAGCATTGCATGGTTTTCAAAGCAAAATGACAGTCTGAAATTTGCCTGATTTGAGAGACATGCAACTCTTTTGAGCCTCACACATCTGGATTTTGAGTATGTAACGATGCATGAATCATTAGTTTTGGGTTCCACTGGTAGCATTTCTCACAACCCTACTATGCTGTAAGATTGTTCCTAGAACAAAATCCTTCCAGAAGCTGAACATCAGGAAATTTCATTTGAGTGCCACTTAAGTGCTGCCTTACCCACAATTTCTGCTGGGGTGCACATAGAGATGGAAGCAATTGATATGCTTCTGCACCACTTCTCTTGAGATAATTCAATGAAACATGATTAGTAGATGAGGTGCTTGATCCTACAAAGGACTGAGCATCCGGCAACTCCCTTTAGCTTCAGTGTACATAGCACTGCACAGAAGGCCTCAGTCTCCATTGTCCTGTGTGACAGCCGCCTTCTTTGCTAACACACTGGGAATTGAACTGGGAACCTCGAGAAGTAACTTCATGATGAACTGCTATATCTCAAACTAAAGAACTCTGGCTAGGCTGTGACAGACGCATTCTCCGTGAATAGGAGCAGAGGGGGAATCTGTAACACACACTTACCGAGGGATTACGAGATTACAGCTACATCTTGTTTAGACATGTACACCAGTGCAAAGTGGTTGTACAATTAGAAGAGGAGGGATTTACACCCCTTTACACTTGTTATTTAAATGACTACACAAGGTGCAAGGCAACAGTGAAAGGCCTAAATGTGTTTATCCTTTTAAATGGAGAAAAACGAATACCAGAATATAAGTAAGTATCCTCTTTGTTTCATGATCAGAATACAACACATTTGAAAGTCATTCTAGTAGAAGCATGTAGAATATCTGTACCCTACACTTTACCATACCATACCTGAAAATAATATCTTATTATTGGGATAATTATAAAGGAGAAAGAAAAAGCAGAACACCTACTTGAAGTTCAAATTAATCCCTAGTTTCTGCAATGGCCCA